GTGTTCCCTTTCGGAAAAAGCGGTTGACGCAAGCCCTCCATCGTAGAAACATATCCTGCCTCGTAATTTTCGGGGGCGGGATGTGGCAGGAGTTCCACCTGGGGTGGTGGGGGGGGGAGGGGGACGTTTTATGCGGTGAGGGAGAAGATTTATGATGTTTTGGCTGTTGTGCCGGGGGCGTAGAACAGGGAGGGGGTTGTACTGGTGGAAAAAAGGTAATATTATGGTTACAAAGGTAGCAATAGAAATGTGAAAGGAATGTTTGGTTGCGAGTTTTGAGTGATGTGAGGAGAAATTTTGTGAACTGGGGGTGAGATCTTGTTAGACTTATCAAACCATCCCGAGTTGCCAGAGCAGCTTTGTTAGGAGAAACGCTGTTGCTAAAGTGGCTACCTACCTTATGGACTGGTGAGAACTGAGCTTCCGGGTTCCTAGGTATGCATCCTTCCATCCCACCCATCCAAGGTGCTTCCTGTTTCTCTCTCTCTCTCTCTCTCTCTCTCTCTCTCTCTCTCTCTCTCTTGTTTGCTTTTTTCTTTTTCCGCCGACACCGGCAAGCGATATCTTCCCCCTTACCCTCGGCTCCTCGGCTCCTTTCTTCGGCACGCTCACAAGAACCCGAGCCGAGAAAGTTTTTTCATCATGGAAACTTTTCTTTCTTCTGATGTCTGTCTTGTCCCTGTCTCATTGGTGGGAGTAGAAAAAAGCGGCTAGCATAGGTACATACATAAACAGCGACATGACCTCTCACATATCACATCTCTGCTGTTTTGCTGATGATGCAGTTAGTTGGGTGGGGTGTGCGGTTAGTTGGATATGATAGGATAGCAGGGAAAAAGGCAGGTATGTTTGCTTTATTGGAGGTTAGGTGATGATCACCATGGAATTTTCCTTGGTGATGGATCAGGGGCGGAATGCATGTTGGTGATCAGATCGCGTGGGCGGATGGGGGGTGGGAGAAATTCAGGGGGTTAATAGGGGGTTCGTTGTTGACGGGAACTACCTAACTAAAGAGGGGGTTGGTTGGGTATACAGGTACAGATAAGGGGGTGGAAGGCGTCTATTTTCTTTTGTCAAAGGTATGTTTTTTCTTTTTGTATGGCACGTGTGGCTTTCAAGGCAGGTTGTTAGCTTCCATTTGGGCAGCTATACATCACAGCACATTATTCCAGCTATCGTTGTTGAATAGAGAAAACAGAGACTAGCAGCCAAGTGAGAAATTCCTCTGCAGTCCCGCAGTCAGCGCTATCTCCGTTGTTTCTTTCCGTGCTTCGTAGTTTTGAGGAGCGGTACATGGCTTTCTTTCTACCTTCCTTGTTTACGATCTGTATCACTCGATCTCAGACATCCAACACTGCAGCAAACCCACGGGACCATACATACAAAGCGGTACCGAGTGGGAGAAAAAATACACTCTTATTTTTTCTTTTTTTGCTTATAGAGTTGGGTTTTATGTTTGTGTTGTGTGATGATTACACTTACACAGCACGCGGCTATCGACTCACGTTGTGGGATGTGGTACATATCCATTTTGTGGGACCTGTCTCGAACGTGACCTTTGGGGGGAGTTTTAAGTCCTGGTTTTGTGGTTGATGAGGGGGGTCCCTTGGGAAAGGACCCTGAGTGTACGTAGGTGGTGGTTCAATATTTCTGGAAACGTGCCATTATTTTCTCGTACGAGAATTGACGCATTGTGGTGGCTTGAGGAGGCACGTTCCAGTGATTTGGGGGGGGGAACAAATGATAGACGAGGACTCGTAAAAGGAGTGAATGCCGGGGATACGCCAGTGCCCGAAGAAGCAGAAGAAGAATGGGAGCTGAAGGTTGGGTGGAGGTAGGTATACCTATAGGAATGACATAGTGATTCGGTGGGGGGAAAGAGAAAAAGACGATGTGTGTGTGTGTGTGTGTGTGCGGGAGGGAAGATAAGGTAGGTTGTGGTACGGAAGCGGATATGTGCATTCTTCTCGAGATGCCTTGCTGGGAGCGCTAGCGTATATGCAATGCACCTCACCTTGTACAGCTAGAGCCAAGCCCACGCCCCATGTCCCATGCAGTATGCCATGTACCATGTACGCCCATAAAGCAAACATGACAGCCTCCTTGCTTCACACCGCCTCCTCCTATTCGCCCGGGCTTTTGCGTGTCGAACCACGTCCCCTCCGCAAGAACTTCGATATCACATGCGCACAGGGCAGGGGGTGGTTCGGCTTTTGCTGCTGTTGAATGATATCAAGGCCTGCGTGGTTTAGGTGTTCTTTTTCCTTTCTGTGCCGGCTTGACTCTATTCGCTTCAGCATGCCGCAAGAGCAACTTATATGCAGACCCATCCCCAAACCAGGAGTCCCGGTGAGGGTTCACAAGTATCAAGTATGCAGTGCGTGCGTTCGCCACCATGGCCTTTTGGGGGAAATCTCGCGCATTCTAGACCGGTTTCCTTCTAAACGCCAATCAACATGTGTCCCTCGAGAAAATCTCATGCAGACCACAATGCCTGTCTTTCCCATGTTCGGGATTTAGAAATGTGACAGCCAGCCGGTCGCCAGAGAGCAGTGATGTCGAACCAACATGCAAACCTGTCAAATCGGCAAGGGTGGGGTGCGTCCGTATGACTTGCCTTGTTCTGTTCCACGGTACTGTTATTGCCGTCGACCCGGTCAGCACAACCTGATCGGCCCGCAACCCAAGGTCCAGGCTCTCGGGGCTCTTGTCAGCCCAGTCTGTGGCGTTCTCCGTTAGACAGGACTGTCAGAAAAGCAGGAATTCCTGATAGCCACAAGGTAAGCAAGGGATGACAGCAATGGCAGGGGTTTAATAACGTATTATTTGGCTCTGAGAACACACAATATTAGGATAATGATGAACAGTGATATGGGACCAACCCCACCATGGCCAACGCCTACAGCCAAGCTGCCAATCCAGCGTGCTGTGATGTGTGATGGAATAAAACCGGAGAAGAGAAATATGTAGAGAAATCAAACACCGTGAACCCCCTAAGAGCAGACCACAACGGAGTTTTTCTTGTTGCACACACACTCCCACAAACAAATGCTGGCATAATCCGCAAATGATTTTGGACCGACCTGACTCCAAACGCCTAACCGACTGGGTAGGAAAGGAAAGGCTTAGTTATTAGACAAGAAGATTGTCTAACCCATATCTCGCATCCGGCCTTGCGATTACTCTCTGGATCTCGGCACTGTCGAATACTTGGTTGAATATCTGAAAGTCGGTGGGGCAGTTGCTGTTGGAAGAACTGGAGCCGCCCTTCTTCGACTTGCTGGATGAACCCCCCTTGGCCTTCTTGGCAATCTCGTCGAGGATGAGCTGCATGGTGCTTTGAGCGGGATCTTCAAAGACAAACATGACGCATCGGATACGGCCTCGGAGGTCGGGGTCGTAGAGGAACACTTCCCGCCAGAGCTCCGCTAGCTCTTGTGGTGGGTTCCGGTAGCCATTGCCCAACCCAAAGTCTCCAATCACGACGGTGTCATAGCGATAGTAGGCGCAGATTCGAAGAGCACCCCGAAGCTTGTCCCTGACCATCTCCCGTTCGTCGGCAAACGAGTATTTTGTGCCGTTCTGCGTCAGTTTGGGCCACCGCGGTGGTGGGACGGAGACAACCGGGAGAGATCGCCATTGCTCCAGCGGGAGCTTCTCGTACTTATCGTGGGGCCCTCGGAAGACGACTGTGAGCCGTGTTAGTGTCGAGCAGCAGGCAGGCAACAGGTCAGAACACTTACCAACATCCTGAGACATGATCCCGGCACAGATGGGGATGGGATAGTGGTCGTTGAGGTCAGAACCCTGCCCTGGGGTAGCCAAGGCCGCTGCAAGGGTGCTTCGCCGGCAGAGGCGTTCCTCGTAGCCAACCGCCCCGGTCTCCCAGTCGCCGCCGGGACGCCTGTCGTTTGCCGCGCAAATGAAGGGGATAGAAGTCCCCGATTGGATCTGCCAGTTGATCGTCATGTCAACCGGGTCACCCGTGGACACGTCTGAGTTCGGGTTAGCATGCTGTATGACATGGTGTCCGGCAGTGGAGCGTCGTGCTTACAAAAGACGGGGGGTGTCACACTAGGGGGCCTGTCTTCGAACTGGATATCTATCAGAGGCTGACGGCAGATGTAGGAACAGGTCTGCCATCGGTTTGCGTATTCGTGTTTGATCAAGGGTGTGTAGTACTTTTTTGTCTCCGACGCAACCTCGGAGGGCTTGGGCTTGGAGGATTTGGAGCTGGAGGAAGGCATTGTGTGTGTGTGTGTGTGTGTGTGTGTTGTCTTTGGGAGGGCTGTTTGCTTGCGGCGAAGAAGGTAGTCCTAGACTGTCAAAAGACTATAGTCCTGGTAGAGACGGCACAATATGACCAAACCAAGCCCGAGTTCTAGTTCAGACTGCTTGCTTGTGCTTGCTGCTGATGGACAGACTGAAAACAGACATGAGCTGGGAGGGATCCAGCTGCTTTATATGTGCCGATAACAGCAAGCAAGTCCGAGATCTCCAAAGCCCACAAGACGACAGCGGCCTGGGATGGCAACCTTGTTGCTTTGAGCGAGTCCATGTGTCCATGTTGCAGCAGAACCCTCTTTTTCCCCCGTGTAACTCGACGGTTTGAAACATGCAAAAAAGCAAAGAAAGAGCCAAAACAACTTGTTTCGTCAGCTTCCAGCTTGGTTGAAAGAGAGAGCCAGCCTTCAGACATGGCCGGCCCCGACACACCGCAAGAGCCCTCGAGGTCGACGGAAAGCCGGGACCTTGTGAGGGAGGACAGAGCAAAAGCTGTTTTGCCATGGACCTCAGGCCGACGCAAGCTGCCGAGACTCATGGAATTGCGAGTGTCTGCTGTGTCGCATCGAGTGCGCCATCTTGAGTCTGAGTCAATCTGGTATTCCAGCGCCTCTTGGGAACCAAAGACATTGGCCCGCGCCTGTGTGTATGCGTGCCAAGTAGACCAGCGAGGAGATATACATGGCACACAAGAGCGGCCATCAATAGCTCATCGAGTCCGAAGTGAACCCCGGACAGCTGCTGAAACCAATAGACCAAGCAGTTGCGGTGAAGACCAATGAGGGCAAGACATGGGCCCTCCTCTCAGTTCGATCGAATGAGACGGCAATTCGTCGAGGATCTCTCAGCAATACAGGATCGACACGCGGGCCGTGGGGGAGTGAAAGATGGAGGGAGGTTTCCAAACCTAAAGAGCAAAAAGATGCGAAAAGCTGCATGTCTGACACTTCCATGACGGACTATTCCCTTGCGGGGCTGCTTCTGGTGCTTCTGCTAGAAAAAGAGGGGGTGTGGTCCATTGTCGGGAGCGGGGCAAGTGATCGCCATGGATGATGGATGATGGATGGCGGTTGATGGCTCCAGGGCTCGGAAGTGCGAGAGAAGACGCAGCGGAGGTTTCCAGAATGAGAGTATTTTTCAGATGGAGAAAAGGTGTGGTATCGACGGGTTGCATGAGGCTTCACCCTTTTCAGGTCTTGATGCCATAATTAGTGGTTGGATGGCACGCTGTCAGTGACGGCAGCAGCAGCCAGGGAGCCAGGTGATGGTGACAGGCAAGAATTCCGACCAATCACCAACGAGAGACGTCTCGAGAACGGCAGGTGAGGTTCGGATCAAAGATGGGACGACCCAGCGGGTACCTAGCTACCAGCTGCCCCCACTCCAAGCCATCCCCACTTCTCAGAATAGCCCCATCCATTCCATGTAGAAAAAATGCCAAGACCACAACCACACACACACACACGCTCACACACACACACACACACACACTAACACACACACACACTAACACACACACACTAACACACACACTCACACACTCTCTCACTCTCTCACTCACTCACTACGAGACACCTAGGTATGTGGTGGACGACAGACGGGACCAGGATGCACCTCGCTTGATCTGGGCAATTCTTTTACTTTGTCCATTCTAGCTCATACGCTTATTTTCGATAGAGATCTGAGCAGCAATGCGGCCCTCCGTTCTGGGGTCTGCCATGCGGCCATCAGCAAGTCCCCTTGTCTCGCGTATCTCAATGCTCTCGCGCCCGAGTCACAGCTCCCGTCGATGTCTATCACACCAAGCAACCGCAACACCAGCACCAGCACCAGCACCAGTACCGGTACAGCCAGCCCGTGCCATCTCTCAGCTGCTCAAGTGGAAACCTGAGCAAAACGTCGACAATGTGGTTGTCCACGGCTATGTCCGGTCTGTCCGTGGTCTGAAAGCCTGGCGCTTTGTCTCGCTCGCCGATGGTTCCTCGCTGGATCCTCTGCAGGCCGTTATCGAGTCCGGTCTGGCTGAAGGGTGGGAGCAATCATTCCGACACGTCTGTCTCGGTTGTTCATCTTGCTGATTCCGACATCTGTAGCCTGACTGTCGGCGCGGCCGTCCGACTCACCGGCTCCTGGGTTGCTTCTCCTGGCGCCGCACAAAGCCACGAGTTGCAAGTCAGGGAGGTAAAGGTCTTGGGTTCTTCAGATGCCAAGGTATGTGGCTCCCATGGCATACGCCCACACGACACCCACCGATTTCTGACAGTTTGCTCTCCAGACATTTCCCATTCAAAAGAAATATCAGACACCCGAGTACCTTCGTACTTTGCCGCACTTGCGGCCGAGAACACCGCTCAATGCTCTCTTGCTGAGATTGCGGTCCGAAGCCGTAACTTCGTTGACTCAGTTCTTTGCTCGCCAGGATTTTGTACAGACACACCCGCCCATCATCACATCGTCCGATTGTGAGGGTGCGGGCGAGGTCTTTACTCTGAACCCGGCCAATGACACGGCCGGCCAACCTGGCAAGGAGTCTGCTGATTCACAAGATTCTTTTTTCCGCTCCAAGAAGTACCTCACAGTTTCGACCCAACTTCATCTAGAGGCCCTTGCACAGTCAGTCGGCAATGTCTGGACCCTGTCCCCTGTATTCCGCGCCGAGCAGAGCGATACATCAAGACATCTCAGCGAGTTCTACATGCTTGAAGCAGAGATGAGCTTCGTCGACGACATGAACTCCGTCATGGACCTCGCTGAGGACATGATGCGTCAACTTGGCACGGACTTATACCAGTCAGACACGGTCAAATCTTTGCTGACACGGACACCCCATTTTGGCCAAGATCTGGCTCCGGCGGAAGAGGTTGACCGTCGTTGGCAGGGCTTGATGCAGCCAGACTGGCCCCGTATCACATACACGGAAGCTATTGACATTTTGAAGCAGCATGAAGACAAGTTCGAGCACAAGCCGGTTTGGGGCGCCGGCCTGCAGTCTGAGCATGAAAAGTTCATCGCTTCGACGGTTGGCAAGGACCGGCCGGTCTTTGTCACCAACTACCCCCGTGATATCAAGGCCTTCTACATGCGCCCAACCCGGGGTCCCGGCTCCGAAGATCCTTCCAGAGTCACGGTCGACTGTTTCGACTTGCTTGTTCCCGAACTCTGTGAAATTGCGGGTGGGTCGATGCGTGAGCACCAGTTGGAACCTCTGTTGGACATAATGACGCGTCAAGGGATCATCAAGTCTCCGTCAGAAACTGCATCCGAGGACGATTCTGGAAACGGCCTTCAGTGGTATGCCGACCTGCGTCGATGGGGATGCCCTCCCCACGGTGGGTTTGGCTTGGGCTTCGATCGGCTGCTGAGCTATCTGTCGGGGGTTCAAACGGTGCGAGACATTGTCTCATTCCCACGCTGGTATGGGCGATGCGACTGTTAAAAGCATGGCATTAAGGGATCGGGATGTCTTTCATTCACATCTTTGGTGCCGTTCACTGTGCCCTCTGTGCTACCTACCTGGCCGTCATGGCTTGCCTGCCCGCACCTCGTGACACCATATCACCGTCATTCCTCTCGGCGGTCCAAGTCCCTGATTGGAAACGCGTGATTTTGGTTCCCCTGTCAATACCGACGAGATCCACCCGAAGGCGCACATCACGCGAGGGACATCGGCCTTCATGTCAGATTTGACACGGCTACTCAACAATGGAATCTACCCGTGTGCGACGTTACCATCTTTACGGCCTTAGATGATGTTGGAAGCAGCGAACCGCTCCTCTTCACTGGGTCCAGGCGCGCGACTCCGGTTGCGTGCATACAAAAAGTCGAGATCAGTTGATCTGCGGCCGGCGCGCCTTCCCCCCCCCCCCCCCCCTCAACCAACCTCAAAAGATACCCAGCTCAATCCAAGTTTTGAATAACCACCCCCATGGACCATTTCCCTCCCTGACTCCCTCCCCGGGCTCAAGACATCTTGCTACAGGGTACATACGTTGTCGATTTGACTGCTAACCGGTGAGCAGCTGCCGCTTTGCGTCTTGCTTGTCTCGGGCTCTCGAAGAAGCGGTCAACGCGGGGCTTGTTGGTCTTTTTATGTGTGCGTCGGTGAGATCACCATGTAGAAATCTGGTTTCAGATGACGGAGTTTTATTTCCTGCCCTCTTCATTTATTTTGAGTGCTTGATGTTTATGGATGTCTATCCTGACCGACGCCTCGTTTTGCCTGGCAGGGACAAGTGTCTTGGACCCTGATGGACTTTTGGAGTTTGATGATGCTCGGCCGTAGTACTGTTGGGAACTTTTGAAGTCTTGTGGTGATAGGATGAGATGTCGGCGTGCTCGCCAGTTGTCTTGTTATGGGTGGGTATAGTCGAGTGCCTCGAAATGATTATGCGAAGGAGGCACAAACTGACCACCTCAAGCATTCCGTCCATGGGCATGGAGTGGAGCTGTGGAGCTGCTTTTCCACACGATGCTGCTCCTTAAGGGGCTCAATAACCTGGTGCTGTTGTTTTCATCGCCTCGGCGGGGAGACAAGCGAGAAGGCACATCGTAACCCCTGGATGATGACCTTTGCTCCCAACACTACCACAAGGCCAGCCATACATTTCCAGTCACAACCTCCAGTTAGCAGAAGTGACCAAGTGATAACGTCAGCGAGCTCGTGAGACAACCCACTATGGCAACTATCGTGGTGTTCAGCCTCAGCCTCCGCCTCTTAGACATCCTTGTGGGCTGTTGATAGAGAGGTCCCGTCACACATCCTCATCAGGTGCTTTCGTACTGGATCCCTTTAAGCACATCTCTCATCAGATAGTCTGTCAACGTTGATATTTCTCCTTGCAAACCTCCCCTTGACAGGGATCTCTTTACGTCTAGAGGCTGTCACACACACAGACTGTCATAGAAACCCTGAGACCATATACCTACTCATAACATGTACATCATCACAACTTGGATAAGCTAAGTCTTTGTTCCAGCAGAGCCATGGCCCCGTCTAACATTAGTTCAAGAGAGGAAAGATTCCCCTTCCATCTCGGTTCTGTCTTATCGATTCCCTCCTGCTCGGGCGCGAGACAAGCACGATACCCCCCATCGTCACCACTCCGCTTTTCCGCCCCCAAATCTCGAGATACAAAGATAAATACTTACTCATATCGCAGGAAGGATGTACAGCCGACCGAAGACGCAAGGCCCCCCTCCTTCCAGAGATGGGCTACATTACCGAAATTCTGTGGACAGGCTCGTATAGATGCACCAGTGGGGGTTCATGGCGGCGGGGGATGGCGGTGGTTTGTGGTGATGAGTTTGGGGGGTTGTTAGATCATGACTTCTTGACACGTCGGTGAAGGATTCTACCCGTCTGTTGCAGTGCTTGTATAACTTTGCAGGCCAGTGGCAAAGGGTGATGATGATTTGTAGTAATACCTAAGGTACCAAGGGGCATGTTGAGCTGTGTTGCTCACCGGACATCTTTTGTAGGCCTCTCTCTCTGTCTCTCTCTCCACATCCAGAAACGCTCCTACCAAAGAGACCTTTCTCATACCGCCAGATTTTATGTAGGAGAGACGTGTCATTATAGGTCATCTACAAACACATGAACGATGTTCCTATCAACAAGACCCTTTCCACCCCCCTGTATTGATGCTCATGTTGCCCAAATCTAGTCCGTCCCAATCACAAGAGACACCATTCACATCCTTCTTCATAACAACACGCAGAATTATCATTACCAAATCTCTTGTGTTCTTACCTACTTGCTGCCAAGCCAACAAAAAGCGTTGAATCTCGATCTTCGTCAATTCAACCTTTTCTGCGTGGCGTTCTCGGTTGGCTGCTACAACAACGGGATGGCTAATTCTTCCGTAGGGCACCTAGGTTTTCTCGTTTTACGCGAGAATGCTTGGCCCTGTGTTTATTCCATCTTGGCTTTCAGTAGGGCTTGAGGTATTTTAACCGGTCAGGTAGAGTCTCTTTATCCAGCCTTGGAGAAGGTGCGGTTGAGTGTTGGAAGGATTGCCTTGGCTTTGTAGAGTTCATAGGGCTTTATATTGCCAGCAGAGGTGGTTGGTGCTTGGTATAGCTTGGCTCAGGAGATGTTTGCGGTTTTGGGGAGGTGGGAAAGGGTTTGGCGAGAAACTTGGCTTTTGAAGGGTTGATATTGAATGGGTGGTTGGGCGTGTGGATGTTGGTTGGTGGGTTGTTTGATGCCTAGATGCAATGGTTACTGGAGATGGAAAAGAGTGCTGTCTAGGCATTTGTCAATACGAGGACCTAGAACTGTTCGTTCGCTGCTGCCTATTAGCCACGTGTAAATGTTGAAGGGCAGACTCATGAAGGTTCCAACGGGAGTCTGAATGCTTGGAGAGGCTTGGAAGATGTTCTGTTGCTCTTGTTTATTGCTGGCAATTCAGCAAGACCCCATGTTGCACATACCGTTGCCTATTTCACCGTCATATCTGATGACCAGACACAAAAAGTATTGATGAACACTTCCCCCGTCTCTGCTCCTGCCTTGTCATCCATCCTCGAGATCAGTGCCTACCTAGGTACTGCAATCAAGTGCCGAGAAGCCACCACTTCTTCTTCCAAACACCTCGGTGATATCACAAGTCCTCTGCAATAACCACGTCTCTCCCTAGCCCACCGTCGATCGATCACCATATGCGGACACCATATCGTCGACCCCGAAAGGCGACGTTGCATCCCTCTCAAACGCCGACATCTACAACCCACCACCTACCTGCTCCACGTTGTCCTTCCCGAGAACACAAGTGGCGATAGTATCACCCACTGCTTCACAATACCACGAATGCCGAGCCGATCTCTTCCACATAAACTCCCTCTTCCACCGACGCCGGCAGATGTCTTGGCCCTCAGATGTGTCCCTTCCCCCCCCCCCCCCCAAACTTCCCCCGACGTTATTCCCACGGTAATCCCCCAAAACACATCATCATGCCGGTTATAAGCGGCGATAACGAAGGCGCGGGAAAGGGACACCCATCTTGATCATCATTCAACGGGATAACTTCCCGTCCATACACCCTACCCTGTGTGGTGCGGCAAGCAGCTTAATCAATCCACCCTACCGTGACCTTCGATGCGTAGATAGATATCAGGCGATGTGACCTCCCTTATCCGACCTTGATATTATTCAAAGGCAAGGTACACTTTTTTATTTTGCATAAGTGATTTGCCGCGGCGGTTGATCAACCTTTTCTCACACTTCCGCGTGGGGCAAGAAATTCTTTCCCTTTTGACTACCTAACCCTGCCTTACCCGACTTCCCGTCCGGGAGTGTATGTTGATCATGCAGCCACACCTTCTTTCGACACTCCAACAAAAAGTCACCTTCTGGGATAAAATCACCCTGCTTCGTCGGAACGGGGTTGGGAGTTTCCGACGATCTAGACAGTCAGTTTCCCTTACGTACCCAACCCAGACAGCAAACCAAGACCCAGCGTTTGATGGATGAAAAGATCTGGCCAAGTCGGGGGACAAAGTCAAGTCAAAACAAGCCAGCCTCTGTGCAAAAAGTCATCATTGTTGTCAACCTTGACCACCCCCATCCAT